CTGCGTTTAGCACTGGCAGAACAAAGAGGGTATGACTTACTAGTTTGAAACAACTTGTGAACGATTGGATATTGCACCTGGTCACATAAATCAAAATCAACAGAATTTTTAGTAAGCAGTTATGTATTTCCTCCTTCATCCTTTATTCTTATATTTTGCGCTGCCATAGTTTAACTACCGATATAAATTCAGGTACAAGTAAGTTTTAGATACTAAGCTTAAGAATGACGCTATAGACATAACTGATCGGAATAATAAAATTTTACGATTCAGTGTAATTTTTTAAATCAAAGAATTAAGTGTTTTGAAAGCAAAGAATATATTTTAAAATATTGGAAATTTTTATTAGAAAAACTTGTTTGATGAAGATGTTCTGTTGTTTCGTTTAGATATATATTACAGTGCATCAATTGTTTATTGAAACTTAACACTAAACGTTATCTAAGCATCATGTCTCTCAACCCATTGTGTTTTGCAGAGTGAAAGCAGTTGTGAATTTAGCTTGTTCTTTATAATAAAGTTTCATTTTGCAGAAGCATTGAAATAAATTTTGCCAATAACAGCCAAACAATTTGATATTGAAATAAAATTATTTAAAAACTTATATGATTTATGTTGCTGAAAAAATTTAAAAATCACCTCTCCTTACTTGATGACCCATCGTTCAAGCTAAACTTTTCTTAATTGTTTTCTATTGTTATAAAGGTGGCTTATATGCTAAACAGGTTTAACGTTTATTATAAAATAATTTTTTTTATCTAAATTTCACCAAGTTAACTAATTTGAATTATGTGTCTTGTCTCAGACCCTAGCTGAGTTCAGTATGAGACCAGAGTTCAGTATGAGACCTGAGTTCAGTATGAGATCAGGTAAAAGATTAGTACATCTGTGGAGAAGTAAAAGATCATCTATATTTACATTTACAATTTTGTTTGCAGATGATACCAGCTTGTTTTATTCCAATAAAGATATCTATACATTATTTCAAACAGTAAACAAAGAACTAGACAAAAAAAAATCGGTTTAAATCAAACAAATTATCTTTAAAATAACTAAAACAAAATACACTTTATTCCATCGTAGACGATAAACATAACGTAGACATAAAAAATCAGATATTCCGTCAGAATATAAAGATAATAAAAAGAGAACAATCAATAAAATTTTAAGGCGTGTTTTTAGACAAAAATGTAACCTGAAGGGAACATATAGGTGTAGTTAAAGATAAAATATCAAAAAATTTAGGTACAATGTACAAAGCTAAGCAGTTATTAAATCGATCTTGTTTAAAAAACATTTTTCTTTTGTTCATTGCTACTTAAGTTATGCGAACATTACTTGGTGCAGCACAAACGCAACGAAAATAAAGAAATGCTTAGCAAACAAAAACAGGTTATAAGAATAGTTTCAAACGTAGATCGTTTCTCATACAAGCCAAAACTGTTTAATGAACTCAATATCCTATATGTATATAAACTAAACCTCTATCATGTTCTTATTTTCATGTTCAAACTTAATAAAAATATTTTAACAATTTTATTTTATTCAATTAAAAAAAAAAAAAAAATCACAAATACCCTACTAGATTTTCAAAATTCAACTTTATTCAATCCAAAACTTATTATTCCGCTATTAAATTCTCTATTGTACACTGAGGACCAAAATTGTGCAACATACCCAGCAAACAAAAAGATATCTAAAATGCATCTAATATGCATCTAAAAACTGGTCTAAAAGATGTCTAAATTCAGGTCTAGAACGGGACATAAATAGACGTCTATCTTCTAGACGTCTTTTAGATGCATTTTATTTGACACAAATAATTGCCTTAGATGCATAAAAGATGTGAAATATACATCTTACAGATGCATATTAGATGTACAAAATACGTCTCTTAAATATATGTCTAAGGCGCGTTTAAAAAAGATTAATAGATAATTTTTTTAGCTAATAATAGCTCTTTTATGCATCTAATATACATCTTTAAATGTATATTTCACATCTTTTATGCATCTAAGGCATTTATTTGTGTCGAATAAAATGCATCTAAAAGACATCTATAAGATAGACATCTATTTATGTCCCGTTTACGACGTGAATTTAGACGACTTTTAGACCAGTTTTTAGATGCATATTAGATGCCTTTAAGATATCTTTTTTTTGTTGGGACTTGTTTGATACAAAGGTATTACAGCGGTTAAATTAGTCATAAAAAAGGATTAAATTAAATAAGTAAAGAAACATTTTAACTAACATTACTTAATTTTTATTTCACAAAAATATACATATGAAACTATATTTCTGCATTGCCGTCAACATCTTCTTCCACGTCGCCGATATCTAGAATACATACATTAATGACATTTAAATGACTTTAAAAGACATGTAGAATTCTGAATCTATTTTTATGAAATGTTATATATATATATATATATATATATATATATATATATATATATATATATATATATATATAATATATATATTCATATATACATACAGTATCAGACAAAACCAGTGCAACCAAATGATGCTAGTTTAGTTTCTTTGTATAAAAGTGCTGCATTTTTTCAATTTAGAGAAATAACTGTTTAGAGACAACGTTCTTCAAATTTTATTCATCACAAAGTTCATTATATGAACACGAAAATTAATAAATTAATCAAAAGTATTAAAAAAAGTTGATTTCCTTCTGGATAAAACAAGTGCAACTCCACAAAATGTTGACCAAGCTGTATTTTGCTATCGATATTTTGTGGTGAATCCTTTGTTGTCGATCACAGCCTTGCATCTTTAAGGCATAGATTCGATCAGGTGATCAATAAAACTTTGGGGAATCGCTGCCTAGGTCTTTTGGATTTGTTCAAACATTTGATCCTTATTACGAACACATTCATGATTAACTCTGAGGTTGACGATCTCCCACAGGTTCTCGATAGGGTCGAGATCCGGAGATTGAGGCGGCCAATCCATCACCAATAGATGTTTGTCTTGAAACCACTGCTTGACTACTTTTGCAGTGTGTTTATGATCGTTGTCTTGCTGAAAAACCCACTTTATTGGTATATTCCATTCAGCATGAGGTAACATAACATCTTTCAGGATACTTTTATACATGAAACGGTCCATTATTCCATCAATTCGATGTATTGGACCTAGACCGTTAGCCTCCACCATGACATTGCCTCCACCATGCTTCACGGTCTTATGGCAGTAACGTAAATCAAGGCATTTTCCGGCCGCTTGTTGTACAGGCAGCTCTAATTGCTTTTGTATCTTAACTGATGATATTTAGGGATCCTTCTTGACAGATCTGACGATCATAGAATTCTCTCTAGAAGTGGTGGAACGAGGTCTTCCACCATTGTTATCTGCTGCCAACTTCCCTGTGGGACAATATTTGGAACATAGTCTTTATACGATCTATTTTTTCACGCGATATTTATCACAAATACTTTTTTGTGACATTCCATTCAAGTAATCGCAAATAATTTTCTCTCTTAGTTCCAATCCAAGACTGTCAGGAAACATTTTTTCACTTGAAGTCATAAAAATAATAAAAATAAATAACCACGCTTCTCAAGGTTTACCGTGTTACATTTACCATGTTATGTAAAAAATATTGCTCTTTGGAACACAACGTCTTGGTTGAATGTGGACTGTATTGATGTAATGAAACACTTGTTGTATTTCACTTCTGGTATTGATGTTCTTCGATAAAACACTTTAATAAAACTCACTTCGATAAACTGTCTTGATAATACTGACTGATTGACTTCCATATACTGACTGATTTACATGTCTCTTATATAGTAAAATGAACCTGTGTGAACCTGTTCTGGAAGATTCTAGATGCTTCTTTTCAACACTTCTGGAAGCTTCTGGATGTGCCTGAATACTTCTGAATGTTTCTGGATACTTCTGGATGCTTCCAGATGCTTCTTCTGGAAACTTCTGGAAGCTTCTGCATGCTTCTGGAAACTTCTGGATACTTCCTTTAACTATTAAAAAACTTCCGTGACAATGACACGGACCAGACTTGAGAAAATGAAACAAACCAAAAAAGTTGCACTTGTTTTGTATGCTGCAAAGGTGCATTTGTCAAGGAAATTCATATCATATCAATATCATGGCATGCTATGAATCCAGAGTCCTGAATATTTGCTGTGGTAGTATAGTTCGTTTCATTTTTAACACATTTAAAATTAGGAGCACTTTTTAGCATTGTTCAATGTTGGTTACAAATGTTTTGTCCAATACTGTATGTATGTATGTATATATATATATATATATATATATATATATATATATATATATATATATATATATATATATATACATGTGTATATATATATATATATATATACATATATATATATATATACATATACATATATATATACACACATGTATATATATATATATATATATACATACACATATATATATACACACATGTATATATATATATATATATACACACACACATATATATATATACACACACACACACACACATATATATATATATACACACACACACACACACACATATATATATATATATATATATATATATATATATATATATATATATATATATATATATATATATATATATATATATATATATATATATATATATATATATATATATAAACAAGAAGATTTGTATCTCAACCCGATACAATAATAAACAACAATTGTTTTATGAAAAAACTAAAGGAACTTGTATTATGGATACAAAAATTCTAGAATGACACAAAAAAGTCGAAGAATATTTTTTTAATACAGATATCAGTTTTGTAAATACTATTAAAACTATACCTCATAAAACACTTCATATATTTACTAGATTTTCTAAGCTTATCTTTTCCCCATTTCCTTTTTGATTTAATTTGGACTGTAACTGATTCGAAAATAACCTGATAAATATTTTAACAATAAACTGAAATATATTTATAAAGGTTTTTATTTTAATATATGTAATAAATTAAAATATTTTAATATATGAATGCTTAAAATTATGAAAGGTATGAGCATTAAATTTGAAAATAAAATGCTAAACAAGGTTTAGCATTACACTTACTTTAGCACACAAACTAACTTAAACACCTACAGTGAGGCTCCTGAGTTTATCAAATTGTCATGTTAAAAGTAAATCCATAACAAATAACGGTCAAAATGAATTGCTTTTGGTCCCTTTTAATCATATTTCTAATAATTAATAAAAACATAATCACTTACCTTTTTATGATCAAAAAAACATGTTCACTTGGCTTTCCACCACCAATCCTTTTCAAACTTTCAAGCTGAAATAAATGTAATAAAAACTAGTGTAACTTAAATTTATACAACATATTGAGTCTAATACAAGCTAGTTATTTTAGTTCATTTACAAATACTTTTCATTTAGATTCTAAACTAATAAACCAAATTTAAACAAACTTATAAAAAATAAAGATAATTAGATTATACCAAATTAGTATACTCGGTTTTATCTTTTAGTTTATTATCCAGTGTAACCACTTCGTCCACTGATTCTAGCAACTTCACCCCAGTAGCCTGAAACTTAATTTCTATAACTTCTTTTAAAAGAACTTTTATTTCTGCAAGCTCCTTGAGAATAACATTTTACATCTCTACAAACAAGAATAAAAAGATTGATTAACATATTTAGCTCATAAAACCAAATAGCAAAACAAAGAAATAAGAACTTTAAAATTCAAATTATGCTTGAGTAACTCAAACAAAAATTCCAAAAATACATGTAAGTTTTTTTATTACTCCATCGCAGAATTTGCCATAATATTTTAGAAAAACTACTTTTTAAATCAGCCAAAACTTTATCCTGTAAAAGGTTACGATATTAAAGAATTTTGTTTAACTACTAAAGGTAAAATGCTACACACATGATTTGTTGAAAAGTATTCAATGTACTAACCACATTGTTTGCACCTAAACTGTTCACTTGACTTGAGTTTCTTGTTGAGACCAGAACAATAAGAGTGATACCAACCATTACAATGATCGCATTGAATCCAAGGAACTGTTTTAGTTCTTTTTTTAGGAGGATTAACATTCCACATTCCTTTCAAAGCCACATTCCTTGCAATTGTCATTTTGTTGAGATTGGCCTACACTACTTTCTGTTGTATTATTTTGCAGAGATTCTGAGATCTTTGGCATTAAAGATGATGGCTTAGTTGTTTTATTACCAAACATTTTAAATGCTCGCTGTTTGGTCGCAGCTGGCCTGCCACGGACCTTTGGTATTCTGGCAAAAAATAACTCTTCTGTAAAAGGTTTCTCAAAAGAACACTGCTCATTAGATTGAGTTATTGAAACAACATTTGTTTGAGCCTCAGTAGTTTTAACAGTTGATGCAACATCAGTTATTGCAACATCATTTATTGCAACATCAGCTATTTCAAAATCAGTTATTTCAAAATCAGTTACTGCGACAACATTTGATGCAACATCACTAGATGCAATAATGGCAGTGTCAACACTGCAATTAACAGTTGGTTGGTTGTCAGAAGCTTTAACATACTTTGATGAATCTGAAACCAATGCATTGTTGTTTAATTCAAAATAAACTGACTCAATGTTTGTTAAAGCATTAAAAATAAATTTTTGTAGACGTTCCATACTTTCGTAATATAATGGAAATGAATTCTGTGGCTGATCAGCTACATACGATGCAATTTCTTTCATTAACAACATTATGGAATTGAATCTTGAAGTTTTTTTTTTGTTTTTTTTTTTTATTTTAATTCACCTCCTTAAGGCCGAGACGGCCACTACAGACGAGGAGGCTACTTATTTGTGGCTATAACCCTCTCTCAACTCTATAACTCCGAAACACGAACCTTGACGAACAAGCCCGCTGCGCGGAGAAACGAGTTGAGCGCGGTACTACCAGGGACGTGGTGGGGATCGAACTCGGAACCACTCGTTTATAAAGCGAGCGCTCTACCACTACACCACTACCGCAAGTAACACGCGACATAGAAATGGTAGTGTTTTGTGAAACATTGGCCAAGTTTGGTGTATTAGTAGACAAGAGCCACCTGCATTTTTATACTTAAATAATCATTTTTAACAATATTAAATGTACTGTCTAAAATAAAAATATAAATAAAAGCTCAGTCACTAAGAAAACCCAAAAAAGATGAAACCTACCTTGAAGCAATTGTTTCCGGTCTAAACAAGTCTATTTCACAAGCAATCCATACTGCAAACAAATGACGACAAGGTAGTCCCATTTCTTTTTGAAAATTGCACGAACAGTTAAAATTAAGATCTATTAAATATGCATTAAGTGTAGAAGGGCTGGTTACCACAAACTCTGATGTGCTATGATTCTATTATATTAAAAAATGCACTCAATTAAAACACAAGCTATAACAAATGTTATTTTAATAAAAGTATTAAATATGAATAAATGACAATTAAATTACTTTGTTAATAGTATACCCATTACAACAAGCCATCTCTACCTCATTTTGCAATAAATTAGAAGAGTACCGGGTACATATTTTAAAATATTTTTTTACCAAAGGAGAAGATTTGTTGCCTGTTACATTTTTAAATGTATTTTCAAAATCTCGATGAACAGATTCCATGGATCTGAGAGATGACATACCCAGTAAATTGTTGACTAATACATCCATATCAACTCTCGAAGAAGGAATTAATTTCTTTAAAGTACCATGGAAGCTAAAATGAAGTCAGTAATATGTATTGCTATGATAATCTTTTTTAAAAAAAGAGAGTTTTCCACACTAGTTTGGTTTAGGTTGTTCTCCAAAATGTTTTTAAATGCCATTATGGAAGAGTTAAAGCAATTTATTTAAAAATGAATGACCTTCCTGAAAACAATTGTACTGCATTACATGTTACCAGTAGTAGGATAACCCGACCTGACATAATTAATGTAATGACATTTATTTTAAGCAATTAGACGACTATAATAAAACTTTGCACAATGGAAGAAAACAAAAAAACAATTCTAGAAAACAGTTTTTAAAAAAATAAACCTCTCAATTAGATTATTTGTACGATTGCTAAGGTGACGTACACATTTGCGACCAAAAGCTGTTATAGACTCTTTATATGGAATCCAATTTTCCGCAATATATTGGTAAAAACATGGTACTTCTTTTAAATTTTCAACAGCTGAATTAAACTCCAATTCAGTATTGGCATTCAGCATCTTTTGTGTATACTGAATAAGTGATAAAAAAGTTTTATGTAAAGTACATAAAAGAGAAATGTTATAAACAAAAAACAAAACAAATAACCAATATATAAACAATAATAATTAAAACATTAAATAAGTAAATTCATCAACAATAACAAAAAATCTAGAAATATAAACATATAAGCTTTAAACTATTTTCATTCATTTTGAAGCAAAATCTACATTATGTACTTACTTGACAGCACAACTCATTTTGTGTCTGATCAAGGCGTAATAGATTTAAATGCCTATCTATGGCACGTAGAACATGGAAATAGCATATAAGAACTTTAACATTGTTCCAACATTTATTTATGGCATTAATTTCTGCAACATCTTTATCTACAACAACACATTATGTTTTTGATATGTCATTGCATTCTGCAAAATATTCAAGAAACTTTTCTATGTGATTTTGATCTTCACTGGTCATTATGGCAAATGCAATCGGCTGCCCAACGCCATTACAGTCTTCCACCAACAAAGTAAACAGAGGGTAACGATAATTATTTGTCTAAAAAGTATATTTGTTCAACATTTATAAACACAATCTAATACAACTAGAACCCCTGGCATATTATATTTTTTATGATTTTAAACACTATCACATTGCAATGTAGCCTTGTTGAGAGCAAAATTGCATATATGGTTATCAGCAATGCTACACCCCTACATAACTTCCTTCCTTTTAACTCAACACTAAACTGGTCTCTACTCACAATACCTTGCTTACTTAAGACTTTTTAAGGAATAATATGGCTTAAAGAGTGTTTTTAAAATCAATTATTGATAACTAAATAATGGAAAGCTTATCAAATTAATGCAATTAAATTAAAAGACCTTATAAAAGAAATTATTTATTACTAAACAATATTTTTTAATAGGAGAGGAAGAATGCAAATAAGGAATTTTAAAAAACTTACTACACTTTTTTTCTTTTCCACTGAACTTTGTTATTAAATTAAAATCATGAAGGTTTTGAATAAAAAAAAAATCATTATTTTTTGATTAAAATTCTATTTTCAAAAAACCAAGTTATATTTAATACCTTTAGTTCAGTCTTTTCATTCATTAGTTGTATTTAAAATAAGCATTAGGTATTTTGTATGAGTAAATATCTGTCATATCCGCGGTAAAATAGTTTTCATTGTTAAAGCTTTACTAAAAAAATTCAAAATTGTGCTATTAGTTTCATTTTTACACCATTAGATAGAGAATAAGTGAATGAAAATGACATTTTCTTAAAAACACTTCCAACAAGGCTGCAAGCAACCACTATTAGGAAAAAAATAAGAACTTTTGGATTTATGAATAGTCAAAGTAAAAGGATGAGACTTAATTGAATCACAAGTAACACGTGAATGTACTTAAGTTGATGGAACCCGGGATTTTGGAATTAAAAAATAGGCCGGGATCCCGATACTGCAAACATTAGATACAGAGATGATTAAACTAATATTTTTAAACCTTATAAGTTGCATCCATCTGAATCATTTCTCCATACTTGTAGAACAATGTTCTTTGTATATCTGTTTAGAAAAACAAACCTTGAAATTGATGATCTTCTGTTTCTAAAAGGCGAAAGTGAACATTTGGTTATGCAAGTGTAGAACGCAGTCTTGCAGTTAACGTTGAACCTAATGATATGAAAAAAGTATTAAATGGAATTCATTACAAATTAAATAGTAACATGTACGGATTAAATTTCATTTAACCTGATTTTATAAGGACTTGCTTTCGATTGTGCATATCTTTAACACGCACAGCTAAACCTTCCTTGTGTAACACTTGTGAAACAAGACTTGGATTTCCATTTACTGACAACATGTTATCAACATCTTCAGCCAGCTTTCCTGATGGGCGCCGATGTTCTGGATATATCCTAATCAAGTCTGGGGAAACATCATGATTATGGTTTAGTTTACATGTTGACACAACAAAGTTACCCATAACACCATTGAATCTGCAATTATAAAAAGTAAACTGACTCATGAAAAAAATATTGAAACTTTTTTTCTAATTTCAAGAAGCGCTTTTTGTAAGCAAAGTTTTTGTTTTCTTTTTGTTTTCAAGTTTAATGGCTATGGTTCTAAACCTGTGTAGTTTAGACGGTTCTTACTTTTATCTATCTCCTTATGACAAAAATATAAGTAAAGGTTCTGATTAAATTTTTAAATGAACAGAACAGGACTGTATATTACTGTAGTTTATTTACTGTGACCATAAATAGATATCCATCTCGTTTATAAAAGCTCTTCTTACACATAAAATCTGCCCTGTCGCTGGATAGCTTAGTTGATACTGTACCTTTGCAAAGTCAACAATTTCTTTGGATGCAATTTATATTGCATAACAAAATATATCATAAAATATATAAATAATAATAAAACAAATTATCTTAATTAAACTATGTTGATTATTTATCCTATATGACAAATCTAGTTATTATGTATTCTAACATAAAATTCAATATAATAACATTTATAATTATTATTCATAACCATAGTGTATGCATTATATATCAAAATGCATACACTATGGTTATTTGCATAGAACATCCATTAGCAAAAGTGTGAGTCTAAAAAAAAAGCAGGTCGGATTCATACACTAAGTTATGTAAAATTGTTATATAAAAGCTAACCGATAGCTATTTAAATTCTATTATTATTATTTAAATGCTATATTTGAATGCATTTAATTTAAATGCTGGTAAATTACCTACATATACATCTACAGAGAAGGTAAATGATTTAGGATTATACTGAACAACAGTTTTACTGATGTTCATTACAAGGCCTAAAGTTATTTTATTACATATTATGTCATTAAATACCACATGTGATTAAATTTAAATATGAGTTAGACTATGATAAGACAAAGATGAGTTTAAGAAAAATATTTTTATTATGACTACCTGACGCTTTTCCTCTACCTTTTCCTCGAGATTTAATTGCTCCAGAATGCTTGCACTCCCAGCTTAATGACTGGTACTGGATTTCTAATGGGAGCTGGCTATTAGGGGAAACCTAAGCAAAGAAAAAATATATTCTAATTGCACTAAAAATTACAAAAAGAGCACGACGCAAGAAGCATGTAAATTTCGCACCCAGAAAATCACCTCTTATCAAAATTTTTGCTTTTTAATCAGTTTATTATTAAATATCACCTCGAAATCTACCGGAATGACATGAAAGAAATTCAGATGTTTATGGCCTTTTTGAAGTCATTGAAAATGGTGAAACAATATTAATTGAGATTCTAATTAAGGATCAAAGCTTATGTTCTTTAATTCGACCAAACAACATCAACATATTTCATTGCAGATTCTTTGATTGCATTGAAGAGCTTAACCCTTAATCTCAGCACTTACTTTTTACCCTTTAACACCGCCCTTGGCTGCTGCAGACAATAGAGTAAATATACAGTTTTAATGGATTAATTTGATTAAAGTTTGTTAAGAATTTATTAGTAGAATAATTCTTTGATTAAAAAAAACAAAGTTATGCATTTTTTATGTGTTCTTGCATATAAATAATTCAATTATTCAATATTCTATACTTTGATGGAAAGTTATTTTGGTGGAAAGTATGACATACGATTGATTGACAGAACATCTTGTTAAGATGTGTAAGCAATGGGGCTGTATCTTATCGAATAAAGAAAAGTAAAAGAAATAAAAACTTCACCTGAACACATGCTGAACACGTAGTTGTTGTTTTTACTCTTTAAGGTAAGCTTATATTTACGAAAATGCATAAAATTTGATAATAAAAGAGGCGACTTTAATTTTTTTAGGAATGCTCTTAACAGAGATCTCAATATATCTTTTTTTTATTAATAACCAACGTCTCTTACTTATTAAGAAACTATTTAGAAGTTTAGGATCTTGCTTAGCAATAGAGGGGCTGGAGAGGATCATCATCATGATCATCATGATCATCATGATCATCATCATCATCATCATCATCATGATCATCATGATCATCATGATCATCATCATGATCATCATCATCATCATCATCATCATCATCATCATCATCATCATCATCATCATCATCATCATAAGTTTTTTGAAACTTTTAAATGTGCGCGTTTATTAAACAATCGTCAGTTGTTAGTTGTTACTTTATTTAAAAAGCGTTTTGCATAATTTGCATAACTATATTAAAAAAGCAATAGTAAAGATAAACGGTTTAAAGTTATCTATTCCAAATGTAATTTAGATAATCTTATCGTTATAGTTTATAATTTAATTTAGTTAAGTTTTCTTTTTTTTTTTTTTTTTTTTTATTTGCATTCACTCCCAAGGCTGCAAGCAACCACTATTAAGTTGGGAGTAACAAGGAAAAAGAGAGACCAGAGTTATAGAGCAAGGAAACGGTTGACAGACGACTTGAAAAGTTGAAGGTTGTATGAGTCAGGAAAACATGAAGATGGGAGAGAATTCCAAAGGATTGAAGTGCGGGGAAAAAAACTAGATGAATAAAAGTTTTTAGAGCATGCAGGGACAGATACAGTAAACGAATGAGACTTAGCTGAATGACGAGTAAAACGAGAATGAATTTTAGTTGATGGAACTAGAGATGATAACTCCTTTGAGCAGTGACCATGATAGTAGAAAAGAGAAAGAGATGCAACTTTACGACGATGGGAAAGAGGTTCAAGCTTAGCAGATAGTCCAGGTCCAACAACATTTACAATGCGTTTTTGGACCTTGTCAAGAAGAGAAAGTGAATCGTTAGAAGAACCAGCCCAAATATGACAACAATATTCCATACAGGGACGAATAAGAGATTTGTAGAGGTAGAGAATGGAATCAGAAATAAGGAAATGGCGAGCACGATAAAGAGAAGCAACCTTAGCAGAAGCTAATTTAGCAATCGATTGTATATATGGTTTCCATGAAAGGTCAGTAGTAAGCGATAATCCAAGAAGACGTAAAGAGGAGGACTCAGTAAGAGGATTGCCATTCATTAATATAGGAATGTTGACCATATTACGGTATTTGTTTGCAGTAAGCAATTGGGTTTTTTTAGAGTTGAAATTCAAAAGCCACTGTGAACCCCAATCTATTATTGAAGTGAGATCAGATTCAAGATCAGCTGCTTGTTCTAGGCGATCGAAAAAAGAAGACTTTTTGACAAGACAGGAGTATAAAGTTGAGTCATCAGCAAAAAGAGCTACTTTAGACGAAAGGTTGTCAGGAATATCGTTTATGTAGATAAGAAACAAAACAGGGCCCAGGATGGAACCTTCGGGAACCCCAGAAGTTACTGGAATTAAAGAAGAGTGTTGGCCTTCAAGGATGACTTTAATAAACCGGTTAGAAAGAAATGATTTGATAATCTCAAGAACTTTTCCAGAAACACCATATGAAGCAAGCTTATGGAGAAGACCAGCATGCCAAACTTTGTCGAAAGCTTTAGATATGTCGAGAGCAATAGCCCTAGCCTCACCGCCTCCATCTAATGCACGATAAAATCTTTCAGTTAAAGCAGTTAGCAAGTCGGTCGTAGAGCGAGAGGATCGAAAACCGTATTGATTGTCTGACAGCAGTTTATTTGACTCAAGATGAGATGTGAGGAATTTGTTGATCAAAGACTCAAAGACCTTGCTAATAACAGAAAGAAGACTGATCGGACGATAATTAGAGGGGTCAGAATTTTCTCCAGAGTTTTTGAATATTGGAACCACAGATGCCATTTTCCAACAAGCAGGAAAACAAGACTCAGTCAAACACTTGTTAAATAGTTTAGAGAGAATTGAAGAAAGTTCTGGAGAACAATTCTGCAAGACTGTGACAGGAATGTTGTCTGGACCACAAGCTGTAGACGAGTTTAATTGAGATATGACTTTAGCAACAGAAGCCGGAGTGATTTGAATGTCTAACAATGGGTCAACCTGTTTGACTGGAATGGAAGGAAGAGAATGTCCATAAGATTCAAGAGTGGAATTAGAAGAAAAGTTCTTTGCAAATAGTTCTGCCTTATCCTTGGGAGAGGTAATAAGATCAGTCCCATGAATGAGAGATGGAATGTTAGATCTACCCTTGTTAATAATGCTGTTGAAGATTTTCCAAAAGTCTTTAGAGCCTAACTTCTGCGATAAGATGCGAGATTTAGTGAACTGAGAATAATGGAGGCGCATTTGTCAGCTGAGAGAGAAAAAACATCAGCCCAAGGACCATCACAAAGAAAATCACGAAAGGAATCCCAGTCAGCTTTAGGGTCGTAGTAGGTGGTGCGATGATAAGGTGAGCCCAAAAAAGAAGTACGAGAAGAAAGATTTATAGAGATCATTGCATGGTCGGAACCACCTAAGGGAGAAAAGGGAGAAACTGAACATAAGCTAGGGTCAGAGACAAGACATAAGTCAAGGAGTGAAGGTAAATGATTAGGGTTGTCAGGAAAATGAGTCACAAAGTTAACTATCTGAGTAAGAGATTTAGTGCCATTTATCTGATTTTTTCATTTATCAGATTTAGTGCCAATTATCTGAGTAAGGCTTTAGTGCCAGCATGATCAATGGTGTTAGACCCAAGCCATTCAGTGTGATGGGCAGTAAAATCACCAACAACAACAATATTGGCAGAGGGGTAAAGAGAGAGGGCATGGTCAATTTGATCAGAGATAACATCTAAAAGAGTGCAATCATGGGAAGAAGGAGAACGATAAAGAACAAGGAGAAAGGTGATAGAGTGAAGAGGTGCTAGGCGAAAGCACATAAAAGAATGGTCAAAGGATTCGAACCTGATTTCACGACAAATAGGGGAATTAATGCGTATGTATACCCCTAAACCTAGCATGTGACTATTGGTGTCTTTACGAATCAAAAGATAATACCCATCAACACTGACATCTGAAGAAGGAATTGCAGAATTTAAATTTGTTTCACTGAGTGCAAGCAAGTCTGGTGAATTTTGCAGGAGGTAAGACTCAACTGATGGAAAGTTGCTTCGTAGACCGCGAATATTTGTAAAAGATATATTAAAATATTTAGGTGGTGGGGATGGTTTTTTAGGTTTTAAATTTTTGGTTACTTTGGTCATGATTTGGGTTTAATGAGAACTTGACTCATTCATAGATAGAGCACAGCCTCCTAATCAATGAGCTATGCAGTTGTCTCAGTCCTGTTAATTAAACCTAAGCCGTGACATAGGGCTCCTTATGTGGCCTTGACAATGCACACCAAAAGCATTAACAGGGACACCATCCATGCGCAACATGGCACTGTTAATACTCTGATATTTTGCAGCTGTTGATGGAATCAACCTCTCTGAGAGCTACCACAGAGTTCGGGAAACCTTACTACCAGCCGGCCTCAGAACCATTAAACTGAGTTTTAGAGCTGTACCCTCATATGGAGATAACAGGAAGAGTTGCATAGCCATTATCAAGGAGGCATAAGCAAAATTCTATGAGTAGAGTCAAGGAGATTCAGCATTCTTTATCCTAGGCAGGAAACAATGTAACACAGGTTACATCTACGCCAGCCTAATAGATGAAGAAGGGGTTCGAGGCTGGTTAGCAGAATTTTTCTGCTTAACCCTAAAGTCTTTGCCTAGGAGGCCTTCTACAAGACAGTAGCAGGATGCAGTTAACATCTGCCCAAGATGAGTATTTTTATCGAGACACCATCTCAAGCCTTTACTCAACCAAGAGCCCCAAGGCAGGGGATGTTTATCTGGATGCAGTTAACATCTGCCCAAGATGAGTGTTTTTTATCGAGACACCATCTCTAGCCTTTACTCAACCAAGAGCCCCAAGGCAGGGGATTTTTTAGTTGGAGTTTATTTCTCCTAGCCTTTGCATAAAAAGAGCACACTCTGCAAGGCAGCAGGGCTTGTGGCAGGTGGTACTGGGTTACGTGATACCAGTAGCAAGATTGATCTCGATTATCCTGACCTGACCTCGAGTAGTTAAAAGGAGTTACTTCCCGCAACAGTACTTTGAGAAAACCAGGCATGACATTTTGGAAGTGCATTAGGAAAAACACTGCATCTAACAAAATACAGGAGTCTAAGGTGAGTGTACGTTTTGTAGTTGGAGTAAGTAGTTAGTTACTGAGCTCACGCTGCATTAGAGTATAAACAGAACACAAACAAACATAAATCAACTTACGGGTGAGTCAACACCACGCCAGAGGTTCAGACAGAACACAAATATACATAAAAAACATAAAGTAACTTACGGGTGAGCGAACACCGCACCAGAGGTTCAGACAGAACACAAACATACATAAAAAAACATAAAAAACATAAAGTAACTTACGGGTGAGCGAACACCGCGCCAGAGGTTCAGACAGAACACAAACATACATATAACGTAGATTACAGGTGAGCTAATACAGTAACTAAGGCACCTCCAACTATATGGGAAAAAAAAAAAAAAAAAAAATTACTGTAGGCACGACTGATATAAGATAGTACTGATGACAGGAAGAACACTCCTTCCAGCCTTTGCTTAGATAGCAAATCATGCAAGGCAGCAGAACATGGAACAGGTTGCACAAGTTTTAATTTTATTTCTGCTGTTTTAGTTAAGTTATTTTTCTTTTGTTTTTTTACCAAGATTTATTTGCTTCTTTTTAAATGATAACTATATAAGCATTATGTATCTTGTTGTTTGGTTATAGAGTACTAAATTATAATTATGAGAATAATTGAATTATATTATAATTATGAGAATAATTGAACTTTAAACATTGCGATTTTGTAGCAATGTGTCGCATGACACATTGCTACAAAATATGATACGACTGAAGCTACAATAGCCTGTGATTCTTTAGCTTATTAAGCTAGCTGTCCTCGTAGCCAAATTGCTGCCTTTATCTTTACAAATATCTATAGCTTTTCGCTAACTTAAAAAGGCTAGCGATCCTCGTGGCCAAATCGCTGTCTTTGTCGTAACGATTATAGCTAGCTATTCGCTAGCCGATTTCCCACCGGGTTAATACTATTTAATAGTTTATTTGTTAGTCTGTTACCACGCCATCTTACATTGAGTGGGAGAGGTAATAATTCAGAAACTTGTTAAAGTAATTATGCATTTTTGCAACTAAATATAATATATTTAACT